CGGCCCCGGCCCCCGCCGCCCATGGGGAGCGCGGCCCGGCGGCGGCCCGGCAGCAGGAGGCAGCGGGGAGCCTTCCCCGGCGGCCCCGCTCGCCCATAGCCCGGCGGGGCATGCCCGGCCCCAGGATGCCGGCCTGGGGGATCCTGCCCGTCACGCTGCCCGCCTTCACCATCACCGGCATGTGGATCGTGTGAGTGCCGCGGGGTGGCCGCCAGTCCCCCACCCCCGGGCGGCGGTGCCGGGAGCCGGGGCCCGGGCGGGATACTGAGGGCCGGGGGTTGGAGGATGCTTCAGAGTGGGATGCTGCGGGCAGGAGATCGCGGGGCGTTGCTGGCCCCTGTCATGTTGGGGCRCTTCTGGACACTCCCTGGCTCCCATACCTCCCTGAACCCCCCCAGCCGCCCTGCGTGGACCCCGCGTCCCCTGCAGCAGCGCTGGCATGTGCCTCCTTGGCCTTCCATCCCTGACACCCCGCGGAACAGCRCTCCCCTGTCCCGGCCTGAGGGCGGCTGAGCTCAGGTGGCACCAGCCCAGGTACTGCAGCGCCAGAGCTGTAGCCGTGTACTACACGGGCACCCATCCCTTGTGGTGGACAGACGGACGGACGGACGGATGGATGGATGGATGGATGGATGGATGGGAGGATGGATGGATGGAAGGATGGTTGGATGGATGATGGATGGATGGATGGATGGATGGATGGATGGATGGATGGATGGATGGATGGATGGATGGATGGATGGATGGATGGATGGACGGATGGAAGCACCTTGTGCTGGGAGTAGAGGTTGTGTCACTTGGGCGACCACTACTAGCCCAGCAGTTCCCTTTTTGGGCCTTAGCACTGGTGAGCAGCGGATGAGCAACTTTTCCCAAAGGCATTGAGAGCTTCAGGATAGGTGGTGGGACTTCCTGGGGTGTGGGATGTAGCAAATGTGCCCCRTACACATGCAGGTCCCTTCAAGATCTTCCCCTGGTGGTATAGCCTGTCTTCCTTAACAACAAAGCCAAATGTTGACCCTGTTGCTAGGATCTTACCCTCCAAATGTTTTCCTCAGACACCTTGCAAAGCATGGCCTGTCTCCYGTGAGTAACTCTGGGGCGCAGATGCCCCTCCAGCCCGAAGCAGYTCAGGTGGGAGCTGCTGTTTATGGTCCTCACAGCCAGAGCTMCCCTGGAGTGGCCCTTTTGGAGACCTGTGCTGGCAGGTGGCTGGGTGAAGGGGCTGCTCCTTGGTGGCTGGGGGGTGCTGGAACTTGGTTTCCCTCAGCTATCCTGCTCTTTGCTTCTGTCCTGGGATCATCCTTTTTGCAGCCCAGCTGTTACATGGCCAGCTCGGGAAGGAGGGGGGTTTTCATGCTGATGTTGGAGCCTGTTTTTAACTGGAGCTGTTCATGGCCAGCAGCCATTTGAATAGCACGGTGTTACCTGCTGCTGTAGCACCCTCGATGGGTGGGGGGGTCACAGGGCTGAGACCCTTTGGAGTGGGGCAGGATGCATGTCATGAACCCCTTGTTACCCTGATACACAGGGGTGATTGCACAGTGATGTGCTTGATGGAGTGGATCTGCCCAAAATGCTCTGCCAACTCACTGGCTGCTTTTCCGGACTTCTTTTAGCTCATTGCTGGCTAGGTAGAGGCTGGGGGAAGCACAGCAGAGCCAGTGCCATTGGGTGGCACCCGGCACAGCTGTAGACTGTGGGGAGTCCCAGTGCCAGGCTGGGGGACTCTGGCAGAGCAGTTCCAGGGCCCGGGCAGTGTAGCAGCATGATGGGGAGCAGGAGGCAGCTCCCAGCAGGGTTGGAGGTACAAGGACCCAGAGTGGGAACTCTGGGGGGCSTCTGCTGGGCTCATGCACTTGTTTTTCTTCTTCCTGCTTTGTGAAGCCAGGAGGTGTAAAGCCACAGGATGAGTGCTGGCCCCTGGCAGGCAGTAAGGGCTCATATCCTCTGCTCTGGCAGCACTGCCTAAGGCTGCTCTGGGTGCTGGCAGGGAATCGGGCTGCAGGGAGGTGGATGGCTGCGGTAACCCTTTTGTTGTGTCTCCTCCAGATATGCCATGGCACTCTCCAACAACCACATCTGCCCTGTCCACAACTGGTAAGGCCTGGGGGGAGGCAGGGGCTTTTTGGCACATCCTGGATGGGTTAAAGGCCTCATAATGCCAGGTCCCTCCAGACCTGTCCCACTTGAACTATGAAAGGGCACTGCGTAGCTGAGGCACTCCCTGCACCGAAACTGTGCTGAAGGGGGATTGGGGATCAGGCTGGCCCTGGGMGGGGCTGGAGATGATGGGAGAGGTGAGAGTGTTAAAGGGGCACAGAGCCGCCTTGTCCCCCAGCAGACATGGTTGATGGGTGCAAATGTTGCAGGGCACATGCCTCCTGTCCAGCCCATGAGAACTGCTTGAGGACTAGCTGCTGTCAGGGCTGACTGCCCTCCCTCCCCTGCCCAGGCCTGCCTGCACTAACAGCTGCTCTGGTGAACAAGCCAGCCTTGCTGCAAACCAGGCGGGGAGAAGGAGRCCATTGAAAAAACACAGCATGGAGAAAGTATGAAAATAAGTGGTCAGGGAATTACAGAGGGCTGTGTGTCTCCATGGAAAAGGTTGTGACTTGCTTGCTTGAGACTAAATCTGGCAGTGCCAGGGGGATGGGATGGTCCTGTGGCACCGGGACACCCATGGGCAGAGCTGCCTGCACCACCCCCGGATGGGGGATGAGGCGTGGAAGAGACAAGGGCAGGGAAAAGAAACACTGTTTGGTTTCTTGGCAACTTCTGCACGGTTTTTGGCTTGTAGTGTGGCCTTAAAAATCTGCCCAGAAAGATCCATGTTAGTTTAATTCTTGCTGGAGTGTTTGAAGAAGTTAAAAAAAAAAAAAAAAACTGCTGCCATTTCCTGCCTGATGGCTGATTCTGCCCTGGGAAGAATGTGTGTGTCGGGTTGTCTCTGCCGCACAGCCAGCCCTTAATGACGAATAATGCTTCCCGGCCTCGGGCTGCTTGCTTTAAACAAAATAATAATAAAAAAAACCTCCCAAACCAAACACTGCCCGAGAGCAGCCTTTGAGGAGGCCGTGGGGCTCCATGCCTCGCCTGGGTTTAGTGGTTGGAAAACAAAGCCACCAGTAAACTGAGGAGGCTGTAAAAACATCAGAGCACAGCCCAGCCCTTTCCAAAAAGGCTTTTTTAACCATGTCCTTGCTGCACAGTCAGAGGTAGTGGGTGGTCAGCCTGGGCCAGGGACAGGGACAGGGCCGTACTGTCCCCCCACAGCTCCCACCCCCTCTGTGGGGCTGGGGGTGTCTGAAGGGGCCCTTTGGAGCACAGCACTTTGCACTCCCTGCCTGTGGTGTGAGCAGGGTGTCCTACTCAGCCATGCCAGGCAGAGGTGCTGAGTGCCTGGCTGATGCTGCAGCAAAGAGGCACCCAAAAACCCACCCCCAGTGTGTGCCAGCTCGTGGGAGAGCTGTGAGGGTGAGGGTGCATGTTCCCCCATGGTGGGAATTTGGTTAGGGTTGCAGGCAGCAGCTGTGGTACAGGAAGGTGTGGGGGGCTGATAAGAGCTCGGGGTGCCCGGACCCACGGGGTCTSTGTGTGCAGGAGGCACTCTCAGGACACTGTGGTGGCTGCAGGCAGCAGAGCCCTGCCTGGCCTGGCCATGCTGGGGCTGCTCTGGGTGCACTGCTGGTGTGCCAGGCTCTGTATCCTCCCTCAGGCAGTGCCTCCCAGCTCCCTCCTTCCCTCCCAGCCTTAGTGCACTGCTCCGGTGGTGCCTGTGGCTGTGGGGGTCATTCCCACACAGTTCAGCATTCCAGTCGGTCCCCTGCAAAGATGGAGCTGTTGGTGGCTGCATGCCTGGCTTCACTGGTGCTTCCATCCTGCTCCTGTCTGGGTGTGGGGCTGCCAGCCCACAGCCTGGCCCATGCAGCCTCTGCCCTGCCATGGCCTCTCCCTCACAGGCAGGGGCTCTGGGTGAGCAGCAGGGTCAGCAGGCAGGGAACAGGCTGGGGAAACCCAGGAGCAAGTGCTGCCTGTTGGACAGTGGGTCACTCCCTGGAGGGGCTTGACCCCAGGGTGTGGGCACATCCCTGGGGCTGGGCTGCACTCAGTGCTGGGCAGGAGACAGGAGGGTCCTGACGGCATCTTTGCTCTCCTAACCTGTCCCTTTGCTGCCGGCAGGAGTTACAACCAGTCATGCGACATGGATGGCCCCAGCTCCTGCTGCACGCTGGATCACATCCCCCTTGTCAGGTGAGCAGCCGCAGGGTGGGAGCACGGGCAGAGCTGCTCTGAGACCCCTCCWGGACAGTCCAGGTGTCCTGGGGAGGGAGCCAAGTGCACACCCCAGTGCCCCCTGTCTGAGGGCTCTGTGGGTCTTGTTTGTCCCCTCAGCAAGTGTGGCACCCTGCCTCCTGAGAGCTGCTTCTTCAGCCTCATCTGCAGCCTGGGCTCCTTCATGGGTAAGTGCCTGCTGCCGGGTGAGCAGGGCTGGGAAGAGCAGCACCACCCCAGCACGGGGCAGGAGTGGGACGAGGGGGGCTGCAGACAGTGGYGTGTGACAGGGCTGTGTCTCCTCCTGCAGTCATCCTGGTGGGACTGCTGCGCTACGCCCACCTCCTGGAGCGCCTGGGGCCATCCCTCCTCAACACCCTGGGGCTGGCCACTGGMTGGGTCTGCGCTGCTGGCCTCACCATGGTTGGCAACTTCCAGGTAAGGCCTCTCCTCGTGAGTCCCTGGGGTAGGGGAGCAGGAGAGGGCCTTGGCTGCAGCGGGGCAGTGGCTGTGCTCAGCAGGGTGGGTTTTGGGGTCATTGTTCTGGCCCAGCATCCCATCCGTGCAGTCCCTCCCCTCCCCGGTGTGTGCTGTGCTTCCCAGGGTGCTGGGGTAGCTCAGGTCCAGATGAAGCTGCTGGGTTTAGTTTAACCTGAGCCCCTCTGCACGGTCTGTCCCYTCCATGGGCACATGCAGGGGCAGGGACATGCCTTGGGCTGCTCCTGCTGATCCTGTCCGGGGGGTGACACCAGGAACTGTCGGGGCATAGCCTGCTCTTGCAGGGAGTGGAGCGGGCCCGGGCTTGGCAGCACGCAGCGGTGCTCAGCCCCTGCCTGCAGCGCCAGGCTCCGGCCTCCCGGCAGCTGCTGCGGCAGCCGGGCCCTCCCGCTTGGTGGAGGCTGCTGCCGGCGCCAGCCCCGCCAGAAGCTTCACGGGCCTGGTCCCTATAGTGCCTCGGCTGTGGTGAGCAGTGCTGGGCTGTGACCCTCGGGAGATGCTGCTCCGGGCAGAGGGCAGCCCCTGCCCCTGRGCACAGCAGGGCTGCTGGCCCGTGGATAAAAGAAACAGAGCTTTTTGAGATCCCAGCAGTAGATGCTGGGTCCAAGCTCTTCAGCCAGGAATTGGGCACAGGGTGAGCTGCCTGGACCTGCTCCCARCACTGCACCCCTTCCTGGGCAGGAGTCCAACCCCTGGAGCACAGCTGTGCTGTGACAGGAGTGTCCCAGGGTGCCGGCTCTGATGGTCTCTTCCCCACAGGTGGATCATGCCAAGGTGCTGCACTACATCGGGGCAGGGGTGGCCTTTCCCACCAGCATGCTGTTCCTGCTGCTGCAGTCCATCCTCACCTACCGCATGGCCAAAACCCGGGGGCAGTACTGGACCGGCCACTTACGCAGCATCCTCACCGCTGTGGCCTTCTTCACCCTCGTCTTCAGTATCCTGAAGGGTGTGGGAAGAGCACTGGGGATGGGCTGGCAAAAGATGGTCCTCAGGGTGGGGTAGGCACCCCATATCCTCTATCCTTTGGTCTGGCAGTGAGGCATGGTGCCAGGAGAGGGGCTGGGCAAGGGCCCTGAGGGTGGGCAGCTCGCTGCAGGTGTAGGCTGGGGAAGCAGCAGTATCAGGGCTAGGCAGGGGCTGAAGAGGGGAAGGGATGCTGCTGGGCATCTCCTGGGGTGCTGGGATGCCACAAACCCTGGTTGCTGCAACCCAGCCACCGCTACAGGCTCCTGTCACATACAGCCCAAATTTGGTTAATCGTTGGGATTTTTAATGGGACAAAGGTACTTTGAGCTCCTGGCAATGCAAAGTCCATCTGGGTTTCCTCTCTGACCGAAGCTGGGTACAAAAGCTCTCTGTGCAGATGCCAGGTGGGTGCATGGCAGCACCTGTGCCAGCCAGGGCTTCCAGGCACCTGCCCATGGGACAAGGAAAGGCTTGGTGAGCAGATACTGGGGTCTGCAAACACCTTACTGGGTAGGGAGGGCACGGCATCAGGTGGACTGGAGCTGGAGCTCCAGAATGCTCCCAAGTGTGTGGCTGAGGAATAAGGAGCTTATTTGGGACTGAGGTTAGGGATAAATTGGGAAACAAGGTGGTGGTTATCGGGCAGGAAGGGGAGAARGCATGCAGTGTCCATGGGTCCCATAGAGGCTGGCTGGGGTCTGGCTGAGGCGGGCAGCGCAAGAGGAGCCTGGGGGCGTTGGCAGACCTGGCATGTATCGGAGGGTCCTGCTCTGTCACCACAGCAGGCAGGCAGACTGGGAAGGGCAGGAGTGCCGCAGGGCCACGCCAGCTGCGAGGGACAGGAAGGGCACGTAAGGACAAGGAAGACAGGACCGGTGCCCATCTGCTGTGGCCATCCTGCTCTTTAGGCTCTGGGGACTGGCGGTGAGCAAGCAGCAAGCTGTGGTGTGGACAGTGTGGGAAAAGGGCTGGGACCTCTCCTGATGGGATGAGGGCAGTGAGCAGAGGGCTCTACAGGTCAGGTCCCTGCCTCTGCAGCTCTCCCAGATCTTGGTCTCACTTGCAGAAGGCATGGTTCTGTTGGAGGCTTCACCTGGAGGGCTGGGGCATGCACAGGCCTCCTTCCCTCACCTGCTGTAGCTCTTACAGCAGGTTTCCCTGGAGATCTTTGGTGGGGATAAAAGAAGGGTAAAAAGCTCTGGCAGTTGTAGGACCTGGACCTGGAAAAGTGGGAGCAGGCTCCCTCTCTGGGGTGGGCCAGCCTGCGGCACGGAAGGACAGGAGGTGCTGTAGGTCTGGGATATAACAGTCCAAACCCTGTTACCAAGGTTGAGTTCTATCATCTTTGACTGCAAACTGGGGGAGGATGGGGACCATCAGCCTGAGTTGAGGAAGAGGGAAGGGCTGTGGGGAAGGTGAGGCATCTGGGCACCAGGCACTGAGACCTTCAGCCTGAGTTCCTCCTGCCCTGGTCTCTTCAGAATATCCCAGCCTGGCATTAGTGCTCTGATTTAGCAAGACTGGGTTGGGCATGCATGCCAGGGCCCTCCTAGTGTTGGGGGAATCATGTTGGTGTTTCTGGGGTTTAGGAGTGGTCATGTGTTTCCTGCAGAGGGTGGTACTCACAGCACCCAGCATGCAGTGGCAGTGGGACATGGTGCTCCATGGGGTGGCTGGAGTTCAGCTGTGCTTTCCTTCACTGGAATACCCTCAGGTGGTGTGTTCTTCATCCAGGAGAGCTTCGTGCTGCAGCATGTGGCTGCCTTGTGCGAGTGGATGTTTATCATTGATGTCCTGGTCTTCTATGGCACATTCACCCTTGAGTTTGGGGCCATCTCCACAGACACCTTCCTGGTCCTGCTGAAAGCCAGCCGGGCCCCCAAAAGTTACAAAGGCGAGAGCAGTCTGTCCAGCACAGCCCACATCCACAGCCACGTGGAGGGCCTGGCTATGGCCTGACCCCCACAGGAGGCAGCTCACGGTGGAGACCCCAAATTGGGCTCTGACAGTGACTCACACATTGAATGTCTCTGAAACCCCAGCTGCCTTGTGTGTGTGTGTTGTGTGTGTTTGTTTATGTCTGTGTGTCTGTGTGTGGGCCTGCAGTGCCCTCCTCTCTCATCAGGAGCTGTGTCCAGGGCTCCTCTGGCAGCTGCTGCCCCTGCAGGAGCTGTCCCCTACCTGCCTGCAGGTTTTGGGGTCACTGCTGGGGTGCGGGGATGCCAACCTGGTGCTATCAACAGAGCCAGGATCTACCCTGAGCCTCTGGGGTAGCCTGGTCTGAGTCAGGGGCTGCTGAGGGCAATCTTACAGAGGTTCCCTTCCGTAGGGGATGTGGAGGAACAGGGTGCTCACCCTCCCGTCACCATGCGAGCCTGATATGCTGGAAGGGGAGATCTCTGTTCTTCCCTCCTCCACAGGGGTAAAGTTCAGCAGAGTAAAGCCTTCCAGCTGGCTGCTGTGACTGTCAGAGGAGCCAAAATCCCAGAGTGCCTTTTTCCTTCCTTGAGAGGTGGCTGCACTGCCCAGTCTGTCTGCAGCCCCCGTGAGGATGGCAGCAGGGGTCTCTCCCTGCCTGCCTTCCTTGGTGGTGCCTCACTGCTGCAGGATGACACCAGCAGCCCCAGCTGGACTATGCTGATCTCCAGTGCCAGGGCTTTCACTGCTCAGTGCATTCCAGGCCTTCAGTCAGTGACTTTGCCCACGTTTTTTCAGCTTTGAGAATTGCTGAGGTTTCACCTCCCGGGTCACAGCATTCCCGTGCTCCCAGCTAGTTTGGGAAATGAGTCTCCGAATTTACCAGCATACGGGGGATGTCCTGGAGGCACCGTGCCCTCAGAGCGGACTTCCCCTCTGTATCGCTGCCAGCTGAAGTTGTCCCAGGGAGCACAGGCAGAGAAAGGGGAAGCACTTCTGTAGGAAGAGGGAAGTGTGTGCTCCATTCTTCTGTGACTCCCAGATCCGTCCTCTGGTTCCTTGGGTAGCGTCTGCCCGGTGGGAGCCCACCCTGCTCAGCCCACCCCGCAGCATCCTTGGGCTGAGGTGCAGCCCGGGGTGTCCTGAGCAGGGGGTGGGATGTCAAGGGGTGTGAGTGTGGTGTTTGTATGTATAGATCTACAAATATATATATATACATGCATATATATATGTATATAGAATTCCCTTGTCCCTGGAGAGGGGCATTTGCTGCTGCTGCTGCTGTGCGCATTGATCAAGTTGGGCTTTCCTATTTGCCCACCTTTTCCAAACCGGCCTGTAAATCCACCATTATATGTAGTTTAAAGAGGAGCATTTCTGACTTTTGTATCTAATATATTTTTTAAAAAGTATATATAAAGACAACAGTGAATTTACAATAATAAAAATGAAAACCAGGCATGGGTGAGTCAGATGGTCCTTCCCAGCTGGGGTAGCAGCTGGCTTTGGGAATGCGGTGAAGGTCCTGTCCTCCCCTCGGGGGACAGTCATGAGCCCGGGGCTCGGTCCCCTGACCCGAGTGCAGCAGGTGGGGGAATAGGCGATGTCTCCGGGATGCAGCAGCCTGGAGCTGCCCGTCCCTTCGGGGGTCCCCCGGCCCGCCCTCCCGCTCGCTGCGCCGGGCGGAGCCGGGCCTGGGAAGCCCCGGGAGGCGGAGCCGGGTCGGGACTTTCCCGGTACCGCGGCGGGGGCGCGGCGGCCGACCTGCGGCTGGGGTGAAGGTGAGCGGCGGGCCGGGGTCGGGTCGGGTGGGGGTCCTCGGGGTGCCGGGGGGATTGGCGGCGGGCAGGGCTGCCCGCTGCAGCGGGGGGACGGTTGCCAGGGAAAGGGAGCTGAGCGGTGCATAGTTTTAAAGTTCTTGTGCTAGGGCTGCCCGTCCCAGCGGGAAGGTCCTGGGCTCCCTCTCGCTCCAGCAGCCGGTCCCTGGCTGCCTCTGCGCTGGCCATGGGGCTAGCTGGGGTTGGGGATGTTGAGAAGATCCAGGCTGGAGAGACAGGTGCTCTCTCCGAAGGGAGAGGAGACAGCAAGTCCCGGCGCTGGTGCTTACACCCTTTTTCCTGCCGGTGRGGAAGTTCCTTATTTTCTACATTGCCAGCGGGTTCTGCCCCATCCTGCAGCTCTCCCTCTTGCATGCTGAGCCTTGCCTGCGTTGGAGCAGGGCTGGCTTGCTGCCCACTCCGAGGGGAACAGATCCATGCCCACAGGCTCGGCAAGCTCCAGCCCAAACGGAGCCGTGAGCACCAGCGCGGTAGTGCTGCTTTGGGCAGAGTGAGAGACAGCAAACGCCGGGATGACGGTGGGAGGGGTTCTCTGAGGGCACACGGATATACAGCTGGATTARTGGTTATAGCACAACAGCAAAGGAGCTGATTTACAAGCCCTAGAGGAGAAAACCAAAAGATCAGTGGGTGGCTGGGGTTTGCCAAAACCAACTTGATAGCCACAATGGGAGTAAAGACATTTTATGCAGAGAGATACAAATGGTTTCAGTGCTCCAAGGCAGACTGTCAGGAGGGGAAGGTTTGGGCAGTTTTGAGGGAGAGGGGATTTCTCTCTACCACGCTTGCTGGTCAGGGACATGGTTTCCAGGAAGARTCTCAGAGCAAAATCACTGTGAACACAACATGAAAGAGACTCAGCAGCCTCTTGCCAGTAGCTGTTGGGACTCCAGGGATGGAGCACAACACAGGATTTGTGCAGAAAGCAGGGCCAAGTATTTAGGGCCATTGTTTGCACGTRTTAGCTGACCCCAGGGAAATCAAAATGCAAAGGGAAGAGTGTATTAGAGGAGCAGGCAGCTGAGTGGCTGGAACATGTCAGCTGTACATTAGCGCAGTTCGGAGCAGGGCTGCACTCGTGCTGCCTCCTGCGTTTCTGGAGCACCCTTTCCCATGGCTACTAAACACTCCTGCCTCATAGGCTGACGTATGTTTCCCTCCTGCCTGCGGGGCATCAGCTCGGCAAGTCAGCCGACTGTCATGGGAGGAAAGAAAATAGCACCTGCATTACTAGGTCACGTTCAAGGAGCTGCAGGCATGGAAGAATGGCTTTAACTTGCACTGCTTGCCAAAGGCTGGCCCTTAATTGAAGCAGTCTGGCTGGCACAGGGAGGCTGTGCCATCTGGCAAGGGTGCTGTGGCAATGCTGCACTCTGGGGCAGTGAGCTGATGCTGCTTTGGGCAGTGCCTTGCAGCTGGATTGCTGCTCTTTTCCCCCATTCCCTGCATTCCCCAGAGAGTGATTCCTGAAGCTTAGGAAAGTGTGAAGATGGGGAGGAATTAGCCAAGCAAATGGAGTTTTCAGTTCAAGCCCACACCCCAGGTCAGATAACACAGAGCAGGKGATGCTGCTGATGGAGGAAGAAGAGATGGGTTCCCTTTTGGGATGTGTGGGGGATAAAAGCTGTGTGTGCTACACTCCTCGGGGAAACCCCAAGTCCTGGGGCCCAGAAGGGCATGGCTGCTTGGCACAGGAGGCAGGGCTTTACCTTGAGAGCAGGTCTGAGGTTGCCTGAGGTTGTTTTCCCAGGAACAAGGAAGCAGGTGGTTGCACCATCTCAGCAAGCCAGGTGGGCTTCCTCCAGCACACACTGTGCAAGTGTGCAGGGATATGGCCAGCAACCTCCAGAGAGAGCCAGAGCTGTGTGGGCTTGGGAGACACAGGGATGACTCTGTGACATTCCTTAGTCATGCTGTTGGCTGCAACAAGTGGAAGTGTCCTGGGCAGCAATGAGTGAGCTGTGAAAACCCCTCAACAGGAGATGGAGCTGGTGCCACTGGAGAAGGGGAGCTGTGCTATTCAAGGGGTGCAGTTTGTTCTTCCCCAGCAGCTTCAGGCCTGGGCTCCATCACCAGGTTCTGTGGGTAGGGTTCGAGGTGGCTGTTCCCAGCACACTGAGGAAGGATGTTTGTCCCTTTTTTCATCTCTCTGGAAAATCTGTGCCAGCACAGCAGATAGGATGGCTGGCTGGTGGCAGGCTGAAGCTGTCCAGGTGGGATGACTGGTGGGATCCCAGCAGCAGGCAGTGTGTGCTGCTTCCCACAGGCCAGCAGGGGGTTATGGCCATGTTCCTAAGCCTTCGGAAGCCATTGCAGAATGTCAGGAGGAAGGTCCCCACCTAATTTTGCAGTGCTGGATCTCCACCTTCCTTGCACCCACCCCTGCACCTGCAGGTCCCTCAGACCCCCACATCCAAGGCTGTGCAGCTGTCTGGAATGCATCTCTGGCCTTAGGTGGCAGGCCAGCYGGGAAAAACCTCAGGCTTGGGGTCACAGCCCCTTTGGAAGACTTGAGTGGCTGAAAAATCTCCTTGAAAAKGCTCTGTTCAGCTTCTGAAGAACATGACTCACGCACGGATTGAACAATCCCTTCCTTCCCCTCTTCTCCCACGCACTCGAAATCCCCTGAGTGGGACCTGCAGCAACAACTGATTCAGAAATTCATGGTATGAGGGCACCGCGGAGTCAGATACGGTTTTTTTTTCTCTCTTTTCGTTGGTTAGTGAGAAGAAATGTGGAACATGCCTGTAGGCTCTCCCCTGAGCCTGCCCCTTTGCTAGAAGTCACCCGTGGTTTTCTGTGGTTAGGCAGACCTTGACCCCAGCGGAACTCCTGTCTGTGGTGCCGGCAGTCCCTGTGGCCATGCTGGGGCTGGACGGGTTGCTGAGACCAGCCTCTTCCTCCCCGGTGAGTAGGAGGGTGTGAGCGCTGTGGGCAGGGAAGGGCCCCATTTGCTGGCAGTGCCCTTGCTGGGGCCGGGGGAGCATCAGTGCTGAGGGCTGGCGCAGTGGGAGATGCTCCCGCAGAGAGCTCTGGGGCTGCCGCTTCCACTTTGAAGCCAGATGTTCCCAAGAAGGGAAGGAATGGAAACACGAATAGTGAATGCCTCTCTCAGGCCACCTCTGCGGAAAGGATGCAGGGGTTGCTGTGTAAGTAATCGGGRGAGAGGGAAAGCACCCCTTTGGGTGCCTGGCAAGGGGCTGCAGACTCTGCTTCTGTCTRCAGAGTCCTGAGAGATTCCCCTGGCTACGGGGAAGCCAGTGGGCTTGGGGACAGCGCTTTGGGGAGGCTTCTGTGGAGCCCATAGGGGCTTGGAGGAGACATCCCTGTGCGGGATGAGATGATGTGGAGTAGGGACCTTGGGGGACCCGGTGGCTGCTGCGGGGCTTTATGGCGCGGGCGGGTGGCTTCAGCCGTGCTGCACTGCAGGTCTCGCTGGGGAAGGGCTGATGGCAGCGCAGCGGGGACTGGCGACCTTGGCGGGACAGGCGGCCGGGGACAGCGTGGGGCAAATCCCTTCGTGCGCCCGGGGTGGGGGGAAATTCGGCACATCGGGCRCCCCCGGGCTGCCAGGCAGCGCCCGGGCGAGAATGGCCGGGGGAGGCGGGCGGGAGTGCTCCGGGATTTCCAGTCCGCCCGGGGCTCCGAGTACAAAATCCCCGTGCGAGGAGGGGACAGCCCGTCCCGTCGCCCCGGGTGTCCCCCGGCGGGTGCCGGAGCAGCCGGGCCGAGCAGAGCCCCGCTCCGAGCCGAGCCGAGCCATGCCGGGCGGGCCCCGCGTCCCGTGAGCCCTGTCCCGTGTCCCCTGTCCCGTGTCCCCTGTCCCGGGTCCCGTGTCCCGGGTCCCGGGCCGGCTCGGGCCGTGCCCTGGCCGCGGCGGGGCGGGGCGGGCCGGTGACGCGCGGTCCCGTCATTTCCCGGCTCGGCGGGGTTTCTAGGGACTTTCCGGAGCGGCGGTGCCTTCCTGCAGCCCCGCTCCCCGCTCAACCCCCCTCTCCCCGCAGGCCRGCGGCCGGCCCCGCGCCGACATGGACGAGCACTTCCAACCCGTGAGTGCGGCWCGGATCGGCTCGGATCGGGTTAGCCCGGGGGTGTCGCTGCCTGGCTCCGGARCCGGGCACGGAGCAGCGGCCGACCCCACGGGAGGGGTGGGAGGTGGGGGTCTGTGCCTGCTTCCGGGGTGGGAGGTGCGAGGGTCTGTGTCAGCCTCCAGGGTGGGCACTGAGGGGTGTGCACCTGCCCTCCTCTCTTTCAGGGATCTCTTCCATCAGGGACCTGTGTCTGCCCCAATGGGGGTCTGTGCCAGACTGCCATCACCTGCCCAGGGTGGGAGATCGTGGTCTCTGCCAGACCCCCAGARTAGTTGGGGATTCCCTGCCCAACACACTGATCACACTCATCTTSTCTCCCATCACCTAGTGCCTGGATGGGATTGACTACGATGACTTCAGTTTTGGCTCCCACATGATGGAGCAGAAGGAGCCCCTGATGGAGACAGGTAAGGGCCCCTCTGGCTGTGCTGTTCCAGGGGTCCCCAGCTGCAGTGGAGTTTCCCAGCAGGCTGACTCACGCCTCTTGGTTCTCAGCAGCACCACAGGCTTTGTCCTTACTGACCC